GTCACACTGATGTGCGTACTAAGAATGGTCGCACAGTTGCTTTGCTGAAACTAAACAAAAAACTACTCCTACACGCATACATCACACAACCGTTCAGTGACAGCTCCAGCAGCGCACAATCCAGTGTTGCCAACTTTTGATTTTCAGAAAGCACCAAAAACTTGGAAAAAGCGTTTTACCAAACTAAAAGCACCAATTTTTTTTTTTTTTTATCAAAAGAGGATTTTTTCGTAGCAGTTTGTATTTAACAAAAGCAAAAAATTAACAATATTTACAAGAATACATACATAAGTCAATACGCAAAACGTTTTCGCTCATAACGATTGATAGCCTCTACACATGCTATGATGACTCATGCTTACGACGTAATACCGAAGTACTATTAACCCTGGCATTCAGTAAGCGGTCTCTAGTCACTAATAGTGACTTTTGGTGGTGAACTTGGATTTTGAGACTATTTGGTATTCAGTACGCTGTCTCACGTCTCTAGTCTAAAAAAAAAGTCACTAATTTGTCACCAGGCTAAGAGCAGGTCTCAAAAATAAAAATATGGAGAAAAAGCTAATTGCTTTCCATTTATTAAAAAAAAAAAACGCGAATATGAAGCGAGGAAATTTGTTCAATAAGAAATTCGTTAGGAAGTAAACTAAAATGCTATAATATCATACAAATCCATAGAAAAAAAAAATTTTTTTTTAACATTAAAATCTAAAGATTATTAAAATAAATAAAACTAATAAAAAAAATACTAAATAAAAAATATACAAAATCCTCTACTCCCGAGGAGTGGACCCTCTCGACCAGCAGCCTAATGCTTTGACCATTGCGACTTTTCGGGCGCCGCGGCAAAAGGCATACATAAACGCTATCAGTTGACTGGCTGTGTTTGTTTTCACCACACATTTTTGCTGAACTTTTTGTGACTCTCTCCTACTGAATAGCCAAATCATCTCTAGTCACAAAAATAGTCACTAATTGCTAATCTCAAATTTAGTGACTTGAGATGAGACTGAATTACTGAATCCCAGGGTAAAACTAGTATATCTCGAGAAAGAAAAATCGAATCGCAACAAACGAAAATAATGCCCCAAGTAGAAATGAGCACAGAATTTGATGTTTTCATTATATAACCTCAAATATTGCAAAAACCCGTGTTTTTGGCAATCTGGGGGTAGGATATCTAAAAATTCTAGTACTAGAGTAATTGTACGGCGTTGATTTTTTAGAAATTTCTTTGTCGCATTTGCTTTCATATAACGAATAAACACAATTTAATTTTATATGGAAGAAAACCGCAATAACTTTGGCAAAAAAGTTCAAAAACAAAAAATTTTTTTCCACTTGAAACTTGCAGTAGAACTGATTGAGTGCGCACTCCAAACTTTCTAGAAAGTCTAATTAAAAGAACAAAAAGGAACAGGTGGTTTATTTTTTGTAGATGTGTGCTCCTCTCAGTGGGAAAGAGTTATTTGCATATCTTTTTCCGTTACTGTTGGACACGGACACTTATTGCTGGAAGAGGAAAAATAAGTGTTAGAGCGCGGTTACCCACGAAAGCCCTTATGTTAGTAAATTTTTTTTACCTTTGCCTTTATCCTTTTCTTTATCAATAAAATAAAATAACTTATTTTCGGTGTATCATATTATGAATGTGCACGATCTCTTCTTTGTCGTAAATGTTCGCACATGTATGTGGACTTATACATCGTGTAAAGAAATGCCTAACGCTTTGCTTCCACTTATGTACGCCCACTTATATTTTTCAGTCTTACAATAACCCACAATTTAGACACTTGAAAAAAAAGTCCCTGCCAAAGTGCCTTTGCCTTAGGGAAATTTTAGCAGTTGATAAATAACCCACAACGGAGAACACAAAAAGATCGCTCAGAGTGATATGCCATGGTGAGAAACACTCTTTGCTTGAGAGATGAGTGTGTGTGTTAGTGGTAAACACCATACAAGACACTTGGTGATGGTTATTTTCGATCTCTGGTTTAAGCAAAGCAAACTGTACGGTCATTCTTTCCACGCACATATATGTATATTAGACTGCATCACCAAAAAAAGTTGCAGTTTTTCCGCCGGGATTACAAAATTTATTACATTTTAAGACGTCCACCAAAATATTTCGGAAAAATATTAAGATTTAAGTGAGCTGGACCGATTTGAAAATACCTCCAAAAATGGAGTTTTTTATGAATAAAAATAGTTTCTTAAAGAACTTTTTGAAAAAAGTCCCCTCAGATGACAAAACAAGTTAGGCTCAAAAATTCTACATAAAAATATTTAAAAATCTTCAACGGAATCGTAATAATGAGATTTTTGATGCTGTTTTTTTACTTTTTTCAAAGATTGATTTACGAAACTGGGCCAAACTATTCTGATTTAGACTTAGGGGATCTCGGTAGAAAGGTATTTTCGCACTATTTTTATTTATGTGCTAAAAAAGTAATTCGTGTCCCAATATTTTTTTTTCAAATATCAACACATCTTAATTCAACTTTGAATGATATTCGTTCATCCTACCTTTCTCTTTCATCCTTTGAATGAGTTTATTAGCAAAGAAATAAAAAGGGCGAATGATATCTCACAAGTCTAAATCGGGAGAGTTTAGGCTCAGTTATTCAAGTTTTTCTTATACCAATCGGTGAAAAAAGTTGAAAACAGCATCAAAAATCTCATTATTACGATTCCGTCAAAAATTTTTTTTAAATTTTTTAAAAATATTTTTACGCAAATTTTTTAAGCTTAAACCGTTTTGTCATTTGAGGGTATTTTTTCAAAAAAATCTTTAAGAAACTATTTTTATTCATAAAAAACTCCATCTTTGGAAGTATTTTCAAATCGGTCGAGCTCACTTAAATCTTAATATTTTTTTCGAAATATTTTGGTGGACGTCTTAAAATATAATAGATTTTATAATTCTAATGGAGAAACATTACCGATTTGTATGGGGAGTGATGCAGTCTAATGTATATGAATGCATGAGCATTTTGTTTTACTTAAATACATATTAACGGACCAATGCTTTAAACTTTACAAACTTTCTACGTAGCAAAAACAAACCTTTGTGTTAGTTTGCCGTTTTTTTTGGTGTATCGATGAGCTTTTGTGTTTTCAACACATGCTTAAAATGTGATTGTGTAAGTGTGGCCGGCACTAATCTAGATGAATTTCTGCACCAAAAAAAAAAAATAAAAAAATTTAAATGTGGCTTACTTCTTTTTGGCGGTTAAGTTTCGATGTGTTAAGTATACGCCACGTACATACATATTTATTTAAGAGTATGAGAAGAGATTTTAGTTCATGAAAGCATGTTAACACAAAGAAGTGAGCTAGTTATTTAAAATAAGTTACTAAATTTGCTTTCAAGGATTATTAGAATGACCTAATCAACTGATATTACATACAATATGATACATACAATACTTATGTGTAAAGTCTCGTCCACTTATTTGGGAATAAACAATTGCATGAGTTTTTGTTTAATTATCCGCTTAATTTAATTTTTTAAGCACTGTTTAGACATATGTGTATTAATAATAGAGAGGCATTCAAGTGGGATTCTGTCAACCGGGGAATACTGTATAGGTATTATATAAGAATGTGTTTGGTTGAATTTTAATGTTTTTACTGGCTTTTTCGTGTTGATAGTTTCAGTTTCTTCATTCTAAGATAAATTTATGCATGATAAAAACATTACAAGGTAAATTCATTCTCTCAATTCGTCGGCCATGATTTTGTTCTGACGTTTGCCAACATTTTAAAATCATATAAAATTGAAAATAAAAAAATTAAATTGTTCACAATTGTTGTTGTTTGAGATTGAAAATGAGAATGTGTGTGTGAGTTTGAGTTTTGATTTTAAAATTATATTGTTGGCAAACGTCAGACTGCCTCTCAATGGTTTTACCTTGTTATGTTTTTATCATGAATTTATGTATAACAAATATTTATATGCTACACATACCTTGTTTATAGCGACACATAAAGCGCTTTGACCAAGTTCGCTGTGATTCAAAATGGATGCATAAACCAACTTTCAATACGCTCAGAAATTCGAAAGTGTATTGACTCGAATTTGTTTTCAAATCGGTTTTATATTTCTCACATCGGTTAGAAAACACATATAAACACATCATTCATTTGACTAGAAGGGAAAATATGCTGAGTTTCTTCATACAGCCCGTTTTAAATTTGAGTTATTATTATAATAAATTTGAATTAATGTTCGCTTCCATCCCGGTCAACCGCACATATTAATTATTAAAGAAAAATAAAAACAGCAAATTTTGTTTAGTTCTAAATACGGTTTCAGCGAGTGCAGTATAAAGACACAGACATAAACGCTTGAAAGAAATATGTGTTGAGTCAAATCGGCTTTTTGTTAATGCGGTTCTTGCGTAGGTATAAACAAAGTAATAGATAATATATGAGAGTTTGAATGTTGAATCTACATATATCTATGTATGCAACCACATACACATGTATGTTGCATTATACCTTAGATCCGATGTATTCACGATGATATGCTTGAACAGAAAGATACAGAGTTATTAAATGAAATGTACTTAATTATATACATGAATACATAATGACGATGATGAAGGATACATGATTTTGATTTACTAAGTAATTAACAAATGATCCATTGGAAAGAAGATCTAACAACGCAAACGAGCACCTCGAGATTTACTGCTTCATATATGAATGTATGTATATTTAAAATCAATATAACATAAATGACAACATAAGGGTACAAGTAACAAATGAATTAAAAACAACTATAACAGATGGACACGTTTATCGCGAAGTGATTTGACATACCATATTGATCCGTATTGTAACATTTCAGAAATATGTAAAATTTCCTTAATTTAACTAGTTTAAGAGATCTTTTTTAATTAGCAACGTTAATGTAAAAGTAGCACATTGACATATATTTAATAATCGACAGTTTATTCATTCTCACAATGCGCTCCTAGGTCGGTTCCACTCACCTGCATCGAATTGTAGTGACTCGTCATTTTCGTCATTGTTGTATGCTGAATGCAAACGCGATTCTTCATCATTTTCAAGAATATTACCTGTCGATGAAGGAACATTTTTACAGCCGAACCACCAGTGGGCAGATGGTCGTGGGAATGGTGGATTTGCTGCATCGACCTGTTAAACGAAAAGAAGATTCTCATAAATATAAAGTATATAACTCCAAATACATATATACATATTTGTTGGCTATGAAAACAATAACCCTAGAGCGAATCACTTGATGTGTATGGGCCTAAGGCAAATTAGAAAATTTTTACACTATTTTCAAACCCACCGAAAATGTCCTGTCGTTGAATCTGTAGTACTTGTCACCCTTGAAAAAGTACGTATATCCATTGGTGTACTGTAATGCAGCATCAATATTGTTGGGCAGGCCCTCCCAGTTTGAAATAGGTTTCGGATAACTGGATTTCACAGGCGGTCGTTTTAATGGGTCGAAACGCCAGAATTTGCTGCCTTTGTAGAAGTAAATTTTTCCGTTGCCGCCCCATACCATAGCAGCATCCAAATGATCTGGGATACCGGTGAAGCCTTCGCTGATTTCCTTTGGATAATCACCATCCATTTGTCGCCCATTGTACCGCCAGTATTTGGTACCCTTGAAAAAGTAGGTTTTTCCATTCTTGTATGTGAACGCAGCATCGATATCACCTGTTTTAAATGAAATAGTCTAACTTTTTTAATTCTGCTTATTTAAATTTCACACGAAAATGCTTACCTTGTAAACCAGGCCAGCCCTCCGAAATAAGTTTGGGATAACCGTCTGCAATAGAGTTTTCGGTGAGTCTGTAGTACTTGTTGCCCTTGAAAGCATATGTCTGCCCATCGGCCGAGTTAAATAGAGCGTCCACTTTTGGGTCCTTGCAAATGAGGTCGTCTCGGGGCGCTTTTGGAGGAGCATAGACCGGCCTTTGGGTACTTTTCGGGAATCCACCACGATCGCCCACTCCGCCAGTTTTTTTACCATACAAAGCCTGTATAGCCAAAACATCGTCGGAATCAAGTTTAAATACTGGATCGAACCCTCGATAAAAAGGTGCCATCAACGCAGAGCGGACGTCTGAATGCGACAAACCTAACGAATGACCAAATTCGTGGGCAGCCACTTGGAAAAGATTCGTTCCACGTGGTGATCCGATCGTCCATAATTCGGCATCGTCAAAATGAGCGTCTCCACCGAAAACAGGGAAGAATGCATGTGCTAGTGTGCCCCCAACACCGTCAAATGCATCGCCATCACCATGTTCGCTTTCAACAAACCTAATTGAAACGAAATAGTGGATAATGATAAAGGCTTTCAAGGCAATGAAATAAGTATGTACATTCGTCCAAGTGAAAAAAGATCCTATAACGCGACCGGAAACCTGATTAAACTTTTAGTATTTGGTATTGTAATGATCCCCCTCTCTACGATAATTCTAAGAGGTGCCGCATCGATCGATTACTTTTGCCATAAGCAAATGATGTCTTCTCTTTTGAGGTCAATATGATTTTCTAGGATCAATCAAAGTGTCTGAAGCTGTAAAACGCCACTTAAGTGCTATGCAGGTCCAGATTATTTCACCTCTTAGGGCCGCACAATGGGGCAAAAAAGGCTCCTGTCGGCAAATCAATTTTGAGAGCCGAAATATGAACCGATTTCATGTTTCTTTTTCTAAATAAAAGATAATTAAATAAGATCTAGATTTTAATTATTTATGTTGAAAAATGGAAGGAAAAAAAATTTTACGTTTGAATGCTTTAAATTTTTTGGAAAATACTTGAAATTAATTTCAAATGTCTGCAATTATTTGAAAAGTTATTCATAAACATATTGTCATATGATACATTTAATTAAAAGATGCATTTCATTTGTTATCTATACTAATATCGTCGTTTAAAGTACAAAACCGCGTATCGTCATTCTGCAAAACCGCGTAACTGACATCGGCTGCCAAAAATTGGGTTTGCTCACACAAGCTCTTGGCTCAATCCTTATCCATTCGTCCTGAAATATACTATCCAGAAGTGCTATTGCTTAAAAAAAAATAGAACCATTTTGAAATACGAGTGATTTCACTCTCCATAAAATAATTTATGCAACCTCACATAGGCGGTTTTGCATTATCTTGATACGCGGTTTTGCATTTTGTTGGTACGCGGTTTTGTACTTTAAACGACGATATATATTTTGAAAGTCGTTTTTTCGTTTTTTCTGCTCGAAAAACTCGAGAATAGCTGTACCTATATTTTTGAAATTTCGGACATCGACTCCAGACTATCCAGGGATGATAATAGATGAAAAGCAATTTCGATATATCAAGGGGGCGTGGCACCTTCCATACAAACTGAACTTCTCACAAAGACACATTCTAATGTGAGAAATTCAGTTTGTATGGCAGGTGCCAAACCCCGTTTTTCCATGAGTTTGGCGTTGATGTTATATATCTCTATACTAAGTTGCAGCACTCTACGATGAATACTTCCAGAGATATGATGTGTAAACACTATATATATGGAAATTATTTTTCTTCTATTATCATCCTTAGGAGGTCTAGAGTCGATGTCCAAAATTTCAAAAATAACTGTACAGTTGTTCTCGAGTTTTTCGATTAAAAAACAACGGCTTTAAAAATACATATCAGTATAGATGACAAATTAGAAACATTTTTTAAGTAAATGCATCCTATGGAAAAATGTTTATGAATATTTTTTTAAATAATTGCAGGCATTTGAAATTAATTTCAAGTATTTTCCAAAAAACTGGAAGCATTCAAACCATGATACAATAATTTTTAGAAGGTAGTTTCACTTCTTCTTCTTATCCGCCATGTTAGCTATCTGACAGAAAACGTGTTTCGTATTTTTTGTTGTACCAACTTTCTCAAAAAAAAAAATCCAGCTTTTGACGTTGGAAAAATAAAACAAAGAAAAGCCAAACATATAAGTAGAGAAATAATATTTTGTAATAATTTTCTTCATAAAAAATTAACTGCTGCTTTCGTGGATATTGCAACACACGGAATAGATGTAAGGACACAGCTATAAGAGCCACCGCACACCACAGACTTTATCGGCCGCCTATTTAAATGATAGGGCTCGCTTGAAATATGTACATGAAGATGTATGGAGGTGCGCACATTACACCAGCTTAATCGCTCTGACCAATAAGTTGTGGTGCAATGGAAAGACTAGCGAGCACATCTAAATTGGCGGCCGATAAAGTCCGTGATGTGCGATGGATCTAATCCATTATAAACAAGAAATATTGCTGTTATATTTTCATTTTTATGATTTTTATTCATATGATTAGCAGTGGCAATAATGTATGTATAAAATACGTATATTTATATTAAAAATTAAGTGATCAGTTATGAAACATATAAATCTTTACATGTTCTGTTAAAAAATATCTAAAATAACAAGCGATAATCCCCAAGTTCTATATCGTAGCAATGGCCACGGTTTATGTAAAAAATTTTGAAGTGAAACTACCTTCTAAAAATTATTGTATCATGATTCAAACGCAAAAATTTTTTTTCTTTCATTTTTCAACGTAACTAAATAAACAACTAGAGCCTTTTTAAAAAATCGCCACGGATAGATCGACGCGAAATTTAATTATCTCTTATTTAAAAAAAAAGAAACATGAAATCGGTTTATATTTGGGCTCTCAAAATTGATTTGTCCATCGCAACTTTTTTGCCCCACTGTAGGCCGTTTGTTTGTTCATTGTCTGGTTATCACTACTTCCCAGTTAAACATCATTATCAACGTTTTCGACATCGTGCATATAACATGTTATAGATAAAGCTGTCGTCGTATTTTACCGGAGCTTCTACCTGCCGTTTGTGTTAACCGGACATTGAATTATCGTAGAGGGGGGAGAATCATGAATGGTCATTACTATAGTAAATACAATTATTTGAGTCAGTTTCCGGTCACATAGCAGAATTTTTTTACTCGGTCGAATGTACATAAGTACATACATAAATGATTTTTGTCAGAGTACTTTAATTTGGAGCTAGATAAATAATAACGAAATGCTTACTTAATTTCGATATGAACGGGTCCTGAAGCTTTGGGAGTAAATGATAGATCTGTAAAATCACTCCATACACTGAAGGCGCGGCCTATTTCGGCATCAACATCATTGCGCTTAAGACGTTTCGGGTACTTCGAAATTTTATAGGTCAGAGCTTTTACCCGCCATCGACTTCCCTGCAGAGCATAACGTTTTGAGCGACTATCGGTACCAAAGCCCACCTTATCTCGCACGCCACATCGCGGCAGTGACATTAATTCCAAAGTCTCATTATCCAAATCTCCCGTTACATTAAGGCCGGCAAAACTTTGGAAATCTTGCACAGCTTTAGTCCATGTACTTGCATCGAGCAGACCTCCATTGGCAGGATTACGAGCTGAAGCGGGTAGATAGCCGAATTGCGATAGATAAATCTACAGAGTAAAAAACATAGATTCACATTATTCACTCAAACTACATAAATACGTTGACTACATAAAATTATTTTAAAATGTAATTATCTTATCCTTACGAGGTAAGCCATGTTTTCTTTCAGCTTTTAGTAAAAAATTTTCATCATGACCATTGTCATCTACTAGTAAAGCACAAAATGAACACCTCCTATGACGCATTACGTTGTCAGTTGAAAAATAACGTGCAGCTGAAGTTATTTCCAAGCGCCGATCTACTCCGAGCGACTGCTCTGCATTATACGTACTTACTTTGTAAAGCGGCTCAGAAGTATGTCTGATACCATTTGTACATTTTAAATTCCTACTTACATAAGGTGGCCACGTCTTTGCTAAAGTAAGGGAGATTCGTCAGTGAAGTGGTAAGGACCGCCGGGTGAAGTGTAAGTTGCTGGTAAGGTATGAAAATAGGCATTCTTGGAGATAAATATTTACACTTCATACAAAAACGACAACATCTAATTTTTGTCAAGAATTGCTTGTTTGTATGCACGCTCATGGGCGTAGCCATGTAGGGGCAAATTTTTGCATAGATATTAAAAAATAGTACCAGGAAATGCTTGCTGGATAAATTCGACCTCCTTTCAAGTTTTTTCCTATATATATACTATATACAAATTATACACTCAATGCTAACAAAATAATTAGTAAATTAATTTAAAAAGTGGATATGTGGAACATCCGGTTCTCTATCACGTTATTCTCCCTAACTTCAAAGCACTTCCATTTAAAAAGGGCAAAAACCTGGCTGCAGTCGACAATGAGCGAAGATGGATTCAAAGGTAAACTATAAATAAGTTTATAGTTCAATTGTTCATTACGTTGTCTTTAGGTTTGTGTCTTCTAATCGTACATCGCAAGCTTTGTATCACAGAACGAATCTGACATTATTTATAAAACTATAGACCGGTTTGGTGAACAGCCAAGACGTTTACTTCTAAAGTACATAATTATAGCAGATGGCAGAAAACACATAGCGCACATAAATTTCTATAATAAAATTAGCATATTAGAGGTTACTAATATATCCATTTTAAACTATAATTAAATCATTAATTAAACTTTACTACAGAAAAATTAATGCATTTTTTATTTATTACACGGTGTGACAAAACAAAATCAAGTAATATATTTAGCATAAATGAATATACTAGCATACAAAATCTGCATACCCAAAATGTTCAATACGTCCTCATAATTATACAAACATATGTACATAATTTAAGAGAAGATATTTCACTGCAAAGCGCGATTATAAATTGTTAGTTTACCTTACAAAATTGTGGAGGAATATTACAGAGTAAACGGAAAAGTTAATTTTTTTTAATTTTTTTATTTTGAATAACGTCTGGTCCGGCTATTTGGTATACTATACAGGTATGTATAGCTATGTATTTAAAAAATACATCAGGGTTTAGTTGAGATATTTGCCTTTGACCGCTATGTTTTGTACATTTCCCAGTAATTCAAAGCTTTTGACTGCCATTCACCTGTGAGTGGCCAGAAGTTATTCGTGTGCTTACGGTTCAAATCACAGCTCACTACGTCCGGTTATTTATATCCATGAATTCTTTGGGTAGCGACCGAACACTAGTTTGGGAGCGAGCTAAAGTGCTAGGGCGTAATACCCCGCGTGCACTGGGTTTGGGTCCTGCCACATTAAAACCTTGCCCAATGAAAAAAAAACACATGCCTCGGATGATACCCCCTTCTTTTGATGACGATCACGGCAAACATAGGAAGGACTATGATTTGAGGGTATGCAGCTGGAATATCCGAACCGTTAATCGGGACGGTGCCTCTGCCCAGCTGTTTGATGTCCTAGGGAAAATAAGGCTGACGTCACCGCCATCCATGAAATGCGATAGACGGGGCGAGGAAGGTAAGCGTGGAAGTCTTGCGTCGTCTACTACAGTTGCCACGTAAAGGGGCGCAAGTCTGTGTTGGATTTGTGGTGGGAGAGAGGCCGGGTTTATTCTAGTGAACGAACGTCTAGCCACAATCCGCATCAAAGCGGGATTCTTCAACATCTCGCTTTTATGTGAAATGCCCCAATGGAAGAGAAAGACGAGTCACCCAAGGATCTCTTAGCTTAGAGTATACATATTAGTGCTGCCCGAATAACATGTAAAAAAATCGTTAAATGCCAAGGTGGGTAACGAAGGGATCTTTGGCGCCAGTGTCGGAATATTCAGCCTCCACATAGAAACGGCGGGATGAGGCTGATCGACTTCACCGGGGCCCGAAACTTGGCAGTATGCAGTACTGGGTTTTAGCATAAAAAGATCCATCAAGCTATACATACGAACACTCCGAGGGTCAACCATCGACTTGCACCACTATATTGATGCAGCTAATATACGACCCCACCTCGGTGCAGCAACAAAAGAGGCCCCCAACAATGCAAGGAAAGTTCAACGTCGAAAAGCTGCAATCAAAACAGACGCCCCAAGGATTCGCCGCTCGACTCTCACACCTGCTGTGAGAGAGCACTCTTCAACTAACCGACATACGCGTGCAGTGGAACTACATTTCCCGCTCATTGCTGGTACGATGAGGAGTGTCAAGAAGCTGCAGAGAAAAATGCTTGAAATGCTGGCCGACTGAAAAACACCCGAAATTTTTAGCAGAGAGTTGAGAGACTTACGGAAGGTTTTAAGACTCCTGTAGGAACAACCATGTCGACCAAGAATGATAGAATACAAGATTGCGCCGATCAGAGAGGATTTTTGAGAATAATTTTTGTGTGACGTCTCACTGGTGCAATTGCGAGAGAGAAATGCCAAAACGTAAGCAAGAATGGAAGAAGGAGAAAAAATGTTGCAAGGAAAACGTAAACAAGTTGCACAAGTGTGACGTCATGCAAACAACGATTCTGTCAAATTCGTTAAGAGAGGAATAGCGGTCCGAGATCGGCGCAACCTTTGTATTCTCTCAATCGTGTATGTCGACCTAGTGGCCGATCTCCAGAACGTACTCAAATTATGGAGGGAACACTTGCCGACCCTTTTGAATGGCAGAAGCATTAAGAGAAGTGGAGAAGACGAACCCGAGTCCCCAGTCGATGACGATGGAGTCGATATCCCAGCGCCTGACTATAACGAGGTACGAATAGCGATTATGCTGATGAAAAGTAACACAGCCGCTTGAGCTGACTGCCTGCCAGCTGAGCTATTCAATTACGATGGCAAGGAGCTTATAAGGTGTATGCAGGACGACTGGAATTCAAGTGCGCTCAACCCAATCCACAAGAAAGGCGACCCACCATGCGTGCCAATATATTGTATTGTATTGTGTGAAAGACTGAATACCGCCGTCAATGAACTAATTGGGCCTTATCAGTGTGGCTATAGACCTGGAAAATCCACCATAGACCAGGTATTCACAATACGCCAAATCTTGGAAAAGACCCGTGAGAAATGGATCGACACTCCCCACCTATTTGTCGACTTTAAAGCCGCTTTCGACAGCACTTAAAGGAGTTGCCTATATGCCGCTATGTCTGAATTTGGCATCCCCGCTAAACTGATACGAGTTTGTAAAATGACTTTGACCAATACCACCAGCTCCGTCAGAATTCGGAAAGACCTCTCCGAGCCCTTCGCCACCAAACGGGGTTTCAGACAGGGCGACTCTCTTTCATGTGACTTCTTTAAACTGATGTTGGAGAAGATAAAAAGAGCTGCAGAACTGAACCGCTCAGGAACAATTTACTACAAGAGCGTCCAATTGCTGGCTTATGCCGATGACACTGACATCATCGGTAAGAAAAACCGCGAAGTCTGTTCTGCCTTTTCCAAGTTGGACAAGGAAGCAAAGCAAATGGGTATGATGGTATGGACAAGACGAAGTATCTCCTGTCATAAATCAAACAATCAGCACATTCGCGCCTTGGCACCCAGGTCACTGTTGACAGTTATAATTTCGAGAAAGTAGAGAATATCGTTTACTTGGGAACCAACATTAACATCGATAATATTGTCAGCATGGAAATCCAACGCAGATTCACTCTTCCCAAAAAGTGCTACTTTGGACTGAGTAGGCAGTTCAGAAGTAAAGTCCTCTCTCGACGTACGAAAACCACACTATATAAGTCACTCATCATGCTCGTGCTGGTATATGGAGCAGAAGCATGGCCGATGACAACATCCAATAAGGTGGCTCTTGGGGTATTCGAGAGAAAGATTTTGCGGAAGATTTACGGGCCTTTACGCGTTGGCGACGGCGAGTACCGCAGACGATGGAACGATGAGCTGTATGAGCTTTACAACGACATGGACGCAGTGCAGCGAATTTAAATACAGCGGCTCCAGTGGCTTGACTATGTCGTTCGATAACCGACGCTCCAGCTCTGAAAATATTCAGGCTTCACTTCACGCCAGTTGGCACAGAGGAGAAATGACTGGCGTGCTTTGTTGCACTCGGTAAAATAGCTTTGGCGGTTACAGCGCCAAATAAAAGAAGAAGAAGAGAATAGATCCATAACCTCATCAGTCACCCGACGAAATCCTTGACGGTGGTGCCGGGAGGGGAACGGTACGTGACGGTAGGAAGTTTAGTTTGGGTTAAGGTCTCACACTGACGGGGTTAGGCTTTCAATGCTTCCTCCTCGTAAATTAAACATGCCCAGTAAAAAGCTAACTATTTAAATCGACGAATAGTTTTATATACACTTTTGTGAACTTCTGTTTATGTGTTTTTGTACAACATATTTACCTCTATTGGTTACAATAATTTTAAGCTATAACAACCAATTTTTTAGTAAGTAAGTTATTCCGCCCTATGTTGAATATTGTTATCGTCCGTAAAAGTGACGATACGGCCATCGTCAGCCATGGTACTGATGCGCTGACGATGGTCGACGATGACGATACTCAGCATAGTGCTGATTGTTTTGAATTTTTTTTCCTTAGTGTTACTGCGTATAACTGGCATTATCTGTGAATTTTCAAGTCTTTCTGATT